AAACTCAGAGATCTTTAAAAAAGAAGAAAGAAGTCTTTAAAATCCGATCAAAATAAAATACAGTTGGAAAACTATGATCCATTATCATTTATTCTACCTATAGTATGTATTTTGGTGAAAGAAACATGTTAAAAGGAACGGATTTACATAAACAGCTTAAGAGAAAGAACATAACATTATTAACATTTGTTTACTTTGAAGTGATTTAAATGTAAATAAGTGTTGTCTAAAATATTGAAATTAGTGTAATAAAGGGCATTTTTATTTTATTTATTTATGTATTTTGGTAAGTTTCATACCTATGTTACTGAAGTATAATCAGTCTACTTAATATCTCAGGTTCGAAATTTGCATTATTTAAATAGACGTTTACCTACCTCTTCAGGACTCACATTAAATTATTGATGGCCACTTTCAATAGATAATTAGGACCGATTTTACTAACGCCAGTTAAATTTTACTAAAGGAATAAATTTGATTATTTGACAATTCATCCATACTCAAAACTGTGAAATGTCAATTTTATTCTACTGTTAAGAATTAACTAATTATTGAAAAATCGGCCCTTAACCTATCTTTAGCCTCGTTTAAGTACTACCGATAGAAATATCCAATAAGCCATGTAAATATTCTATCTTTAGTAAAAGAATTACTTGTGTTTCGTCGTCTGAGTTAGATTACCGGAGGCTCAATTACCCCTCAACGCCCGAATCCCCAACAATCCTAAAATTTGTAATTCCAAAAAGACCGGTAACGCATTTGTAACTCCTCTGGTGTTTGAGGCATCCATGGGTGGCGCTGATTGCTTATCATCAGGTGATCTGTCTGCTCGTTTACCGGTATATTAAAAAAAAAAACTACAGATTATTATTATGGAAACTATCCGTAAGTTCAATAAGAAAAACCAACAACTAAAAGTTCTAATTTTTCCTGTTTTCAACTGTAGCCTTGTTTCGAACTATTACCAAGTCTGTTACTCGGCCTTTTACCAGATAACGAGGTAAGCTGAGCTTCAAATTTAGGGCTTCGGAGCTGTCTACTGAAGTTTCCAACTTACTAACTACCGTCATGCCTGTTTTTTTTTTCGACGAATTTGGCAGAATTGCTTTGCAATCGTTTTTAACGTAATTTATTCGTTCATAATTTAAAGTCATATCGGAGAAATAAGACAAGAACACTTAAGCTCGGTTCGTTATTGAGTAGTTTCTATTCAAATGCTACTTTCTTGCAAGATATTTAAGATTATGTTATAAATTCGACTCAATATAATATAGGAGGGTAAGGCAATTCGAATATCTTCTCTTACACCATAATAACACCCATGGCTCCAACTCACTACACAAAACAACCGAGCCATAATAACGAGGGTTATTACCAGAAAATCGAACCTCAGCAGGCCCACTTAGAGCATCAATAAAACCAGAACCATACTCGTCAGCGAGTCTACCCTCACAGTTTAATAAACAAAAAAAGTGAAATCGTGACATTTCCCTTCAACATTTAGGCACCTAAACCGTTTGCAAACAGCATTGAGAACGGGACGCGAGTAAATGAACGAGGGGGGTCGTGGAAGGGGGGGTCCTAAACAAAAGGTGCGAGCCCCCACGCCAGCCACCACAACGACCCGAGCGGTGGGGTGGCGGGTACGGTGACCATGAGTCTTGTGTTCGTAGGATAAAATTATGTCGTGTTGTAAAGTTGAATTTTTGTACTAGAATTAAATATTAGCAAAGATGTTAGGAATGTGGTTGTTTACCCATTAGTCTACAATTTTAGCACTAATCAAGTAGCTATATCTCTTCAGTCATTTTTCCTTTATTAAATCAATCGAAAATAATGTGTTTTTAAACAGTTTTATCTTCCTATTTGTTTTTGGTAATTGTCAGAATTTAGCTACATTATGACTGTCTCTCAGCATCTGATTCCGCTTTGAATTTTTGAGCATATGTTTCCAAAGATTGTTTAGAAAAGGTACTACACTTTTTCTGGTTATAATTAACAACTACAAACTCTTATAAGATACTATCATTGCCCTTACTATCTATTCCAATATTAATACTAAGTTTTATGACAAAATTTCAAACGCATGCAGACCCTACGTCCGGGGTGGTTGTGCTTTTTCGCGGCGCGTGTCACTTCGGAGGGTCGGGCGCGGCCGCCGACACTGCGGGCGTCGGGATCCCGCGTCCGGGCGCCGTCGCCATGGCAACGACACCGCGACACCACACCCACCCTCGCCCACCCTCAGCCAAGCCAAAGTAACCCCTAACACAACAACATACGACCCATTGCTCACTTATATACCGTAGACACATAAAGTAGGGTGGAATAAGTACATAAGAAGCACGGTCAGGCGATGTAAATAACGCGAGATAACTTCGAGAGGGTCTAATGGAATAGGGAATCGTGTTTTGGAAAGTGCCCCGGAGAGAATGTTCTGGGTTGTTACTCACGATAAGGGCCACCATCCCTGCAAAGTGAAAGTCGATATAGGATTAACTTGGCCAAATTTGATTACACAGCCGTTTCGGTTAGTTGATGAGTTGAGGCCGCACTTTAAATATTTAGCCCTTGTTTTACTGGTGTAATACAATTTAGGGATACTTAAGTAATAACTATGTATTAATTGGGTGCTGTTTGGTATTAAACGATAAAAATGTATTTAAGTAGCATATCTGAAGGTAGACAGGATTGATAGTAACAGCTAATGATTTGATTTGATTTGTATAATGTCAGTTAACCCAAGAATACATTAGGGGCTAAATATCCTGCGACACGTGTTGCCAGCGACGTTGAGTAAGTAGGAGACGTTGCCGGACTTTGGTCGAAATCTCTGGCATGTCAGGCGAAATCGGCCGACTCCACTCGACATATCGCTGATACATATCTTGGGACGTCTTCTCTCGTAGAGCAAAACTGTGGAATGATCTGTCGTCGGCGGTATTTTCGAACCGATACGACCTTCAAACCTTTAAGAAAAAAGCGTATTCCTTTTTAAAAAGCCGGCAACGCACCTGTGACTCCTCTGGTGTTGCGGGTGTCCATGGGCGGCGCTGATCGCTTACCATCAGGTGATCCGTCTGCTCGTTTGCCTCCTATTCCAATAAAAAACTAGTGCAATTTCTTTAGCCTATCTTTTTATTTCCTCTCAATATTTTCTTATTGTTTTTCTATTTGAAGAACTTGGTTAGAATTATCACCTGGTAATTTCGTCACGCCTGCGTCTCATGCATGAGATTGCGGGTTCGAAACTTACTAACGTCAAGTATCAATGTGACTTTTTTCGTGTTATACATATATACATACTTTCTAAGATTATTCAAACACCACTGACAAACGGTGAAGGAAAACATCGTGAGAAAACCTAGGCTTATAATTTCTTAAAGTTTGAAATCGCCAACCCGCATTAAGCAAGCGTGGTGATTAATACTCAAACCTTCTCCGTGTGAGAAGAGGCTTTGCTCAGCATTTATGGGCTGTTGATGATGATCACCTGGTAGATTAGTTAAAGTACGGGATTTTTGAGAAAAGGTTATTTCTGGAAGCAAGGTAGTATTTTTCCAAGAACCTTTCTATCCCACATCCCACGGTTAGGTTTGTTTAGACTTTACCGGTTAGCTGTTAGACTAAATTCTAGTGAATACTCTTTATAATGTACTCTCAAATAGGTCAGTTGTCAGTTAATTTTCGCGTCAGCTTCACTAGAATTCCCTTAAAACTAATGCTTAAAGTCTTCTTTGAAAGTATATAACATAACATAAAATGTTTTTATCCTCGAAGAGGCAGAGGTGCATATTACGGCACTTTTATCCCACTTTTCACTATTTATGTTACGAGTCCCATGTAATAGGGGGTGAGCCTATTGCCATATATCAGACACAAATCCAGACTCCGCGCTACTACTAAGATTTTTTAAAACCCATTAGTACTTTGCCTGATCCGCGAATCGAACCCGAGACTTATTGCCCGGCAATCGCACTTGCGATCACTCGGCCAATGAGGCAGTAAGATTAAGTAATAGAAAGAGACACAATAAACAGTACTTAATGTATTTTTTGACACATGAATTGTCGTTTTTTTATCTTAGGCATACATAATAATATGTTTATATTGTAACATTCGTGAGACATACTAAATTAGTTATTATGTTTTCGACATACTCACGCAACTGTTTGACAAGGACCTCGACTAGTTACAAGCCATGCTAGAGGCTCATATTCATGAGCAGCCATCTACGACGCCGCGACAACGCAGCGACTGTTGCGCTGCTGACAGCGCCTCGTCAAACAGTTACATCATTACGTGAGCAAGCCGAAAACATATTAATTGATACATAATAATAGTTATTTTAATTACACCTAGTAGGTACTTAACACTAAGCTGCCCGCCAGGTCACCTTATCATGGCCCAATTATTAATGTTTTTATTCATTTAGATACAAGCTGCGCCTAATTTGTATAATGCGTCAAGCCTGTCTTTGCATTGTTCTCACATATACGTACAATATTGGATAATATATAAGAGAGACTGTAAAACATATTGTTTTTTAAATAAAAGAGTAACGAATGGAGTTTCGTGCTCGTTCTTATCCATTCGAATCTACGTTTTGAAATGAGCACCTAGCTTCATTGACTGACAGAATATGATTTATTTTGTATTTGTTGACGTTTAAAAAGTACATTATTAATTGCAATAAATGCTTTGACTTTGACTGCGGGTGTGAAAACTCCTTGCTTCCATGTCTGCATGTAATGTACCTAACTTGTAGGTATATGCAAATAAATAAATATTAGTTTACTTATAAATGTACTTAAATCTAATTATTTAATTACTAGCGACCCGCCACGGCTTGCACGGGTGCAATATGCATGTATTATACATATTATAAACCTTCCTAAAGAATCACTCTATCTATTAAAAAAAACCGCATCAAAATCCGTTGCGTAGTTTTTAAGATCTAAGCATACATAGGGATAGACAGACGGCGGATTTCGACTTTGTTTTATACTATGTAGTGATATTACACCACACTTAGCTTAATTTCAAAAATACATCTATGAAAAAATTACTTATTACAATATTTCACAATTATTGAACTCCATATCTGACTAGAACTGAAGTTATCTTCTCTGTGGTTATTGTTGTTCTACTATGAAATTTCTTTTCACTATTTTGTCTAGTCCATCAGCAGTTGTGGTCTGTAAAGGTAAAGTAAATCAACAATTAGGATGATGACAGGGTATTAAAATTAAAAATCTAATTAGTCCGTAAGTTAGGTAATGAAAAAATATTAGACACGTTATTTTGTCGTATTAAAGAACAATACTCAGATAAAACGAATCAAAGTTTAGGAGTGGATGCTAAAACGTCATTTCTACGTTAAAATGTACATAGAAGTGACGTCACGCGACATTTATAATCAATATATCGTGGAAAGTATTCGTTTGTGTAAAAAAATTAAAAAATACGTGTAGGTATAATGATTTAAAATAATCTACCAGACGGACATTAAAATAAAAATTAGGCATCTACCCTATTATCATATAAAATAATCAAGAATTACATAAATTGTAGACTTGCGTAAATTGTATCCAATTAGGTACTTGCCAACTAGTTAAATTCAATACTTTTTTTGGACTGTTAAAAACGACCAGCGTTCTATGAATTTTGTACGATATAGCGTCAAACAGCATACTTATTTTTTTTAAAGCTGGAAAAATTCTAAACTTGAGTCGGTCATAAAATCAATTAATGAAAGTATGATTATTTTTCAATATTTTATTGTATTTAACAGTCATTATAATTTATTTTTGATTAAGGAAAGTACCCAATTGTATCCACGTGCGTATCTTTAGGAGACTTATTTACGCTTCTTTACTTTAGTTATATTTATCTGAAATGTACCTTAAGGACTCTTTCATTTTACACGTATCTTTTCGCACGTTTACCGAAACAAAAACGAAACGAAACGAGCTCTTATAGAGAACACTCTGCCTACTACTGTAAGAATAAAACAGCATTATCAAACAACTCACCACTATCATCTTATCTATAAAAAACTCTCGTTCGTGTCTCGACACCTTCCCATCATCTGTCTGTGATGTCTGTGTGTGAATCATTTTGTTGCCTTCAAATACTATTAGAGCTTTCACCTAAAAAAATAAAGGAAATGGTTTAGCTGTAATCAGGCAGAGAGTACTTGCATATTATATAGAGTTGTTATCAATTAGTGTCATTTTAATATGTGGCTGTACGAGTCTCTTTGGATTATTAGAGGCTTCGCAATGAGATCATGACAGGGTATGAAAATTAAAAATGTAATTAGTCCATCAGTTAGGTAATGAAAAAATATTAGACACGTATTTTTTTTATTTTGTTGTATAATAAAATGATACTTAGATATAACGAATCAAAGTTTAGGAGTGGGGGCTAAAACGTCATTTCTACGAATAAAATGTACACAGCAGTGACGTCACGGGATATTTCAATTTTCAAATCAATACCTATATCGTCGTAAGTATTAGTCTCTGTAAAAAAATAAAAAACATGTGTATAATGTTTCAAAATAATCTACCAGACGGACATTAAAATAAAAATTAGTCATCTACTCTATTGTATGTGTATTGAGCAGTGTAATTGGTTATTTGTACCGTTTTATTCGTATAAATAAATATAAATATAAACGTGGCAATGCTGCCAGTCTTCTTGGAACATTCCCTATTGACATCGATTTGGACGAATTCTTTGACGCTCTTTGTAAATTGTTCTTTTTGCTTTCCTTTAGTTTTATAGTTTTAAATGTAGGTATAAATTAGAAATACATAAAATATGTAATTATGTATAATAATGTCTGGTAATTAATCGGCTCAACAATCTTAATCTACACGATTGTGATAAACGAAATCACTGTTTTTTGTTATTTTCCAAAACAGTCTAATAATTAACAACGAATATTGCTAGATACCTATTAGCTAGATACCTACTAGTTTTATTGTAAAGAGATTTAGTCTAATACTAAACATTAAACTAAAACGACTGTATTCTCCATATTAAGTACAACTTTACAGAAAGCTCTGAAAATTCCAAAATCAAAGAAACCCGTAATCTTTAATAGCCTGGACAGCAAAAACTACATCATCGACAGTCACTTATTGCTAGAAAGTTATATCGGATTTGACAGTGTAAGGTTCCATAAAATGTGTGTCTAACAGGGGGCTTACCCTTGAATCCAATTCTGATCGATATTGGTATTGTGAAATTTCGTAATCTTGAGTTGCAACACTAGCGGCTATTACATGCGTATTGCATGGATATTTATTGAACTAAATGGTATTGAGTTTGCTTTATATTCCGTACTCTGAATGCTATTGTAACAGCTAAGATAGAGATATTATAGTTTTTACATTGAATAATTATTGAGATTTTATTGGATTGAATTGATTGAAGCACTCAGTTTTTGACAAGATGCTTGCATATAATTGGTCGACTCGTATTTTTCTGATCTACTTCAAATGTAACAGTTGTTTACTTATAATAGTAGATTTATTACAAGGTCTTAGTCAACAATGGTCTTATGTCAAGGCTATTTAGAGTAGAAAACAAAGAATAAAATATACCTTTACACCATCAGCCTTGACTTCTTCAAACTCCTCTCCGGGCTTAAATGTAATGCTGGAGTTAGCCATAGTCGAAAGAAATTGGAAGGTATAGGTCCCATCTTCGTTTTTAATCAGGACGTGAGTCTGATTCAGTCTGAGTGCTACTTTTCGAGCTATGTAGCTTAAACCTGGAAGAATAGATAATAATTACAAGTCATGATCATCTGTACGAAACCGTCCATTTTTGGATATAGACCTCTCTTATAATATAGACACTAAACTTGATCTTCTCTCCATATCATAACTGTGTTTGAAATCTGTGGGACTAGATACATAACAAATGTTGTTTACAAAGAAAAATGTAATACGTATAATAACATAACATAACATCACGCCTTTTATTCCCGAAGGGGTAGGCAGAGGTGCACATTATGCCACTGCACAATGTAATACCCACTTTCCACTATTTTATGTTATGAGTCCCATGTAATAGGGGGTGAGCATATTGCCATATACCAGGCACATTTCCAGACTCCGTGCGACTACTGAGAATTTTTTTAAAAACCTGGTAATACTTTACCCGACCAGGGAATCAAACCCGAGACCCCTGGCCCGGCAGTCGCACTTACAACATAATAATATGCTTTTAGACCAAGAAACATTGACACAGATGCGTATTTTATCAGCGTATTTGAATAAATGAAATGTATAATCAAATAACCTTGATAACCGAAATAAAAAAAAGGAAAACATAAAATATAAAATCTTCAAAGCACAAGAACTTAAGTCAAATATTCACATCACAAAAACTAGTAAAACAGAAACGAAGGTATCTAAATACAAAATACAGAAATAAAATAAACTCAACCACTGATCACACCGAAGAAAACACACTCCAAACTATCCATACACCCTCGAAAATAAGTCACAGAGTCACAATCATTTATTTCAATTAGACCAGGATGGCACTTTTGAACGTCAACAACAAAAATTTAGAAGTGAAACTAGTTGCTCATTCCAAGGCGTAGATTCCTATGGAGAAGAACGAGCAAGAAACTCCATTGGTTACTCTTTTTCAATCGGGTTTACAATACAATTCTCTAGTTACATAGTTTTATTGGTGCGATTGTGTGAGAACAATGCAACACCTAAATGCAGTCTCAAAGAGATTGAAAAAGAAAATAACCTTGAGGATAATAAAATGATACAATCTGGAGCTGATGAATAATCTCAGAACTTACCTAAATACACTAAGTAGTCCTCAAAATTTTCCGAATCGGTCAAAACATATTTTTTACCCAAAAACTCGTCCATTTCGGACGATGTATAAACACGTATGTTGTAAGCTGAGGCGCACGTGTGTCCTTATCACTAATGATAACGTGCCTTTATCACCCCTCTTATCTATTACCTACGTGGGTAATAAGTTCATGATTTATAAATAAATATATGTGTATGTTTTGATAGTGCACAACATCTGGTCGGAATTCTACGAAAAGATACGATTAAGATGATGTACACTCATTTTTCCAGTCATGAACTTCAAATCGTCTGATGTCGGTTCTGAAGAAATTAAGAGATAATTTTCAGATTTCTGTAAAGTTTAATCAAACTTAGCATAACATCTTATTTCCCCCGAAGGGGTTTTTTTTTTTTAAGGGGGGAAAATCATCGAATGACTGCCCCCGCCTGGGTGAGGCGGGAGGGAGTGTCAGACTCTTACTGACTAAAAACCACCCCGTTCCTTCTCCTGCACGTCGAGCCGGAGCCCCGGTTACCCGTTAGGTTCTCCGCGACTCCGAATCGGCATCGGCCCTGTTGGGCCCCATCTGTGGTGGTCTGATGGCTCTTTGAGGCGCGCGCGGAACGCGACGCGCCGTACGCTCGGGTCTGTTTCTGGTCGGACGGGGAGCCACCCATGCTCGCCGTCCGCAGGCCCGCGCTTACGGTGGCCGGAGATCGTCCCGCGATCCCCGACGCCCGGTGTGTCCTTCGCGATGGCTGGGTTGCGAGGAGGCAGCGCTTCGCTGCCTCACGCGTCCCGCCTCCTCCTTAGCTAGCATGACTGCTTCGCAAAAGGAGGAGACGGCATCCCAATCCCCCTCGCTCCGCATCATGGCCTGCACTAGGCCCGGACGCGAGAGGTCGCCATCGCCGATCACTTCCCTGAGGACACGGCGGTGCTCAGCCCACGAAGGGCATTCTCCCACCGTGTGTTCCACCGTGTCCTCAGGGCGGTCCTCGCAGTGATGACACCCGGGCGTTTCCTCCCGCCCCATCAGACACAGGTACCTCCCGAAACTGCCATGTCCGGTGAGGACCTGCGTCAGGCGGTAGGTGAGGACGCCGTAGCGTCTCTCAAGCCACTCCTCAAAGAGGGGACTTACCGCTGCGATGGCAGCGAGCCCAGCCCTCGGTTGCGACAGTCGTTGCTGCCATTCCGCCATGTCCCCCGAAGGGGTAAGCAAAGGTGAACATTATAGCACTTAATGCCACTGTACAATGCAACACTCACTTTTCACTATTTATGATATGAGTTCTATGTAATAGGGAGTGAGCCTATTACCATATACCGGGCACAATTCTAGACTCCGTGCTACTACTGATTTTTTTTTAAAAACCCAGTTATAGGTACTTTCCGCGACTCAGGAATCGTATCCGAGACCCCTAACCGGCAGTCACACTTGCGACCACTCGGCCAACGAGGCAGTCACACAAACTGCGTATTAGCGATTAACAAAATGTCTATCAATATTTTACAGGAGAGAAGAGCATTTACTACAAACCTGAAGAAAATGGTGAAAGTAGTTCGACAGCCACACGTCAGGAAAAAACTCCATACAGACAGATCTCAGAAGAAGGTGAGTTCTAGAAAAACCTTTCTTAAAATCAAATAAATTAAGGTCATATTTGAAGAACAAAATATTCCCAGCATAAGGTTTTATCAAAAAAACTTACTTATGATTTGACTGCAACATTACTCACGTAGAAATAATCGTCAGTGGTTTTCCTTTCTAGTTTTGTCGAAATTGGTTCAGCTGTTTGTGAAAACGTTACTTAACCCTTTGAGTACCGTCAATATAGACACAATTAAAGAACAATAGGTTGCGGTCACCAGTGTCCTCGCGGTGTTTGACAGTTTAAATACAGACTCAACATTTCGCAATGGTTATATTAAGATGTCTTAGCTGTTTGTCCACAGTGTCGTTCGCATAATTAGTAAAAAAGTAGTCTATATTATTCTTTAGCATTCTAACTATGACCAAACACATAAAAAATACATTGCGACGTCAAAGACAAGCAAACAAACACTTTCACATTGATAAATATTAACAAGGATTATTAAGAATACCCACACTAACACCCCGTTTAAATCCATGTCAGTATACATTTAAAAGCCTTTTTATTAATCATCATTGTCATTAGTCTTAACCCCTCACACAGATTATAGTAATACCCATATAAAAAAAAAGGAATCTCAGTAACAATGAGTCAGCAAATAGGAACAGATGTAACTCTTACGCAACCCTTCGTTCAAGTGTTTCTGACGCTGCGAAGGGGTCTTGAATACCCCGGTATTTTCATCTGTCACTTGATGACGTAATAACGGTAATGGCGTCCAGACGCCATGATGAGACGCCGCCATCTTGGATGGTATTGTGTTGTTTAGTTACGGCATGGAATAGTGTGTTGTTTAGTTGGCTATCTGTTGTGGCTTTCATATTTAATTTGTAGTTAATTATCACATAGAGAAATTGATCTATCTGATAGTTGATTTCCTTTTTTTTATTCAGTAGAATGTTTTTTGCTTTTTTTAATTTTATAAGTTTTTGTTTTGAAATTAATAGATATGTATAAAGCTTCTGGTATTTTAAAGTAGAATTTAATTCAGGCGAGCAGGGGAATCATAAGATCTCCTTTCTACGACAGTTCACTAAATACAAGATGCAATAAAAACTTTGAATGAAAACGATATATAAATATTATTTGATTACGTCATAAGAAACAAAAAGATTACCCCACTAATTAGCTAGACGGTTACCTTAGCTAAACCCTCGGCGTCTCGTCTGTGTCCCGGTAATAGTATATGCAGGAAATGTCACAGCTATCACATAGCTCCACGAACCCAGCTTTGTATTGTACTGCATTATAAGCTATGCTTGCTACATATTTAGATGACGTTACGCCTTGTGACGTAGTGAATAAGGAATGGATAGATTTATCTTTTTTTTTTCATTTATATGATACAAGGTAATGTTACAATGGTAAAGTACCATACTTACACAATAGTCGCGGAGAACCTAACGGGTAACCGGGGCTCCGGCTCGACGTGCAGGAGAAGGAACGGGGTGGTTTTTAGTCAGTAAGTGTCTGACACTCCCTCCCGCCTCACTCACTCCGGGAGCAGTCATTCGATGATTTCCCCCCTTAAAAAAAATACACAATTACACATGCTAATTCCAAGCACGAAAGCATGCTTCAATTGAGCACTTGTCACTTAGTAGCTTGTGTGTCGGAATGTTGCTCAATATTAGCATGCTCATTTCGGGCATTCTTGCGAATCGACATGCGTTCGAATTTTGAATATTTTTGAGCATGCTCAGTATTCCTTTGAGCGTGTTTTTTATTTTCGGAAATACTGTTTACTCTGTAATATTAAAATAAACCTCAACCTCAAAAGTCCAACATAAGAGACTTTTGCACTATTGTTGCAATTAGTAGCCAGAGATCCGTGGACAACTTTAATTTTATTGATATCATGCAGAGTAGGGTACAAGTTTATGATGCGTAACACAAATGCTTTGTCTGAGAAAAAAGAAAAATAAGTACCAATATTTAAAATAACACTCTGATACTCTGGGTGAAAACCACATTTGAGTCACAAGAGTGCATTTTAATAAAAAGTTATAATTATACACACAGGCGAGAAAACCATCGAATGACTGCTCTCGCTTGGGTGAGGCGGGAGGGAGTGTCAGACTCTTACTGACTAAAAACCACCCCGTTCCTTCTTTTGCACGTCGAGCCGGAGCCCCGGTAACCCGTTAGGTTCTCCGCGACTCCGAATCGGCATCGGCCCTGTTGGGCCCCATCTGTGGTGGTCTGATGGCTCTTTGAGGCGCGCGTGGAACGCGACGCGCCGTACGCTCGGGATGTCCACCCGGTCTAGATCAGGAATTTGGGCTGAAAACCATCAAGTTGGGCTAGATCCTAAGATTACGATTGATATAATCGTAATCTGCACTGAGTCGTATCGTAGACTAAAACAGCAATGAATTCAGGAAAACAATAATTGTAGATGTAGAAATTTGTGTTTGACGTAAATTAATGCAGTTTTGCAATACGACAAGAATGCAAGTCGGCGATGTAGTAACTAGTAAGCATTATTATTAGAGTTCTAACAATGCCCATCCCCATCTTTTCCACCCAACAATGTCCCATGCCGTAGCGTATACTAAGTCTGTCGCGTAATTCCGTAACAATGAACGTACTATGCAATGACTAATGAAAGCTGATTACAAGCGTAATACATACATACATGCCTTCACGTGAATGCGCCATGAGAAATAAATATCTTTCTTTCTAGAGATACAGATCTCTGTCATACCGCCTTTAGTACGTGTAAATATAAATATTCATAGTTCTATTACCTATGTGGTGGTTTTGCGTCATAATCTAGTGTCGGGAATAGAAATGTGCTTTAGTTATTTATAGGTGTTGTGTTCTAGTTGCATGAGAAGACTGATGACTGCTGAGGAAGCGAAAGAGGTATGTAAGAATCATAGCAATTGGCGGTCTATAGTCGCCGCTTACACCCATGGGAGACAGGCGTGAGGTTATATAACATAACATAACTTCACACCTTTTATCCTCGAAGGGGTAGTCAGAGGTGCGCGTTACGCCAGTTAATGTCACTGTACAATGTAGTGCCTTGTCAGACTTTTGGGCATTGAGAATTTGAGGATTTCTAGAGATTCGTGGATTGGGGAGATCAGGGAGAGGGTAATAGGGTCACATGACGAAAAACACAACGCAAGCGTTCATTCACGACGGTTATCTGTGAAGCCGTGGTATCACTCCGATCGAGCCCGACCATTTGTGCCGAAGCATGGCTCTCCCACACTTATTAATAAAAAAAAATATTTAACCTATCTCTACTCTTCCGCAGAATCACCGTGTAATCAAGTGACAATACACAAGCGACCTCGGTTGGGGTCCGGAGAATATGAGGACACCGCCAAATTCTCTCTTCCTCATACACCTGAAAAGAGCACGACTGAAAAAAACGAAAAGGCTGAAACTCCTGAAAGCATAAGGTAAATCATTTTTTTTATATATTTTGAAT